GTCTGTGGGCGTCTGGCCTTCTGTCTGAGGGCGTTCTGTCTGTGGGCGTCTGGCGTCTGTCTGTGGGCGTCTGGCCTTCTGTCTGTCGCCGTCTGGCCATGTCTGTGGGCGTCTGGCCGTCTGTCTGAGGGCGTTCTGTCTGTGGGCGTCTGGCCGTCTGTCTGTGGGCGTGGGCGTCACTGTGTCTCCGCTCAGTAAGAAAAGTTGTGCTATTTCCTCATCATTGTCCTCAATGAATCTTCCTTACAGCCCCCCACTGTTCACACCAGGGGGTGGCGCCGGGGTGTGGCGCGGGGAGGGTGTGGTGCAGGGGGTGTTTGGTGCAGGGGGGGGGGGCGTGGCGCAGGGGGGTGGTGCAGGGGGGGGGTGCGCACGGGGGTGTGCAGGGGGTGTGGCGCAGGGGGGTGTGGCGCAGGGGGGGGGTGTGGTGCAAGGGGGGGTGGCAAGTGGTAGGGGGGAGTGGGGCAGGGGTGGGGTGTTGTCGACTAGGAGACATAATGTCTTTCTGATGGAATAGGCCACTCCTCTGAAGCACTGTTCTTGCGGGTACACCGGCCTGCAAAGGACCTATTCTTGCAGGTACGCCGGCCTGCAACACCCTATTCTTGCAGGTACAGCGGCCTGTAACACCCTATTCTTGCAGGTACGCCGGCCTGTAACACCCTATTCTTGCAGGTACGCCGGCCTGTAACACCCTATTCTTGCAGGTACGCCGGCCTGTAACACCCTATTCTTGCAGGTACGCCGGCCTGTAACACCCTATTCTTGCAGGTACGCCGGCCTGTAACACCCTATTCTTGCAGGTACGAGTCGTTGGGGCTCACCGCCTGCTTGCCCCCTTACTGTGTTTTAAGCACACATGATCCTTCTGAAGCCGCTTTGATCTGTTTTGCGTCTGGGTTTGTAAATCCCCTTCCATCTCTCTCTCTCTCTCTCTCTCTCTCTCTCTCTCTCTCTCTCTCTCTCTCTCTCTCTCTCTCTCTCTCTCTCTCTCTCTCTCTCTCTCTCTCTCTCTCTCTCTTTAATCTGTGATAGACTCTGTGGTATGTAAATGTCTACTTTTATTCTCTTAGTTGCAAGTTTTGCAGCTTCGTCTGCAATGTCATTTCCTATTATTCCCACATGACTTGGCACCCGAGTTTATAAGTACCCGTCGACTTTGTCGTTTGAGTGTTTGCGTTAATGATGTTAATTAATGCTAACCTATGCCTACCTTCATAACGGGAAGAGTTCTTAGAGTTCTCAAAAATATCTGACCAACACCTGATGCTGTAATTTGATTATTGATAATAAAGATAATGACAATAATAATATCTATAGTCATGCATTTTTGTTACCAATGATAACATAAATAATTACAAAAATAATAATATTTTAAAAACTGTCAGAATTTGAGGGTAAATGCTTGGCGTGAGCCTCACCAAACTTTGCAGGCTGACTGGTGGTCGGTTGGGGAGTGTCGTAGGTTTGTCAGGGTCGATTCCAGTGCTCCCTCTTTTGCTTGCATGAAATGGGAGATTATACCCATTTCCAATTTCAGTAAGCACCAGACTCCATCCTCACTAAGATACAATTAGCTTATAATTTTATACATGGTTAAATTTTAAGTTTTCTTTTGTGGTATATTGAAGTATTGATGTAGTGTAGTGAAAAAATGGTTATATTGATGAAGGGAAGGTGGTGAAGGGTAGTTGAAGAATAGGGAAGGTGGTGGAGGGTAGGGTAGGGGGTGAAGGGAAGATGGAGAAGTTGGTGGCACTGTTGACCCCCTCTCGGGCACTGTTGACCCCATCTCGGGCACTGTTGACCCCCTCTCGAGCACTGTTGACCCCCTCTCGAGCACTGTTGACCCCCTCTCGAGCACTGTTGACCCCCCTCTCGAGCACTGTTGACCCCCTCTCGGGCACTGTTGACCCCCTCTCGGGCACTGTTGAACACCCCTCTCGGGCACTGTTGACCCCCTCTCGGGCACTGTTGACCCGCCTCTCGGGCACTGTTGACCCGCCTCTCGGGCACTGTTGACCCCCCCTCGGGCACTGTTGACCCCCTCGGGCACTGTTGACCCCCTCGGGCACTGTTGACCCCCCTCGGGCACTGTTGACCCCCCCTCGGGCACTGTTGACCCCCCCCTCGGGCACTGTTGACCCCCCCCCTCGGGCACTGTTGACCCCCCCCCCCTCGGGCACTGTTGACCCCCTCTCGAGCACTGTTGACCCGCCTCTCGGGCACTGTTGACCCGCCTCTCGGGCACTGTTGCACCGCCTCTCGGGCACTGTTGACCCGCCTCTCGGGCACTGTTGACCCGCCTCTCGGGCACTGTTGACCCGCCTCTCGGGCACTGTTGACCCGCCTCTCGGGCACTGTTGACCCCCCCCTCGGGCACTGTTGACCCCCCCCCCCTCGGGCACTGTTGACCCCCCCCCTCGGGCACTGTTGACCCCCCCTCGGGCACTGTTGACCCCCCCTCGGGCACTGTTGACCCCCCCCCCCCTCGGGCACTGTTGACCCCCCCTCGGGCACTGTTGACCCCCCCCTCGGGCACTGTTGACACCCCCCCCCCTCGGGCACTATTGACCCCCCCCTCGGGCACTGTTGACCCCCCCTCGGGCACTGTTGACCCCCCCTCGGGCACTGTTGACCCCCCCTCGGGCACTGTTGACCCCCCCCCCCTCGGGCACTGTTGACCCCCCTCGGGCACTGTTGACCCCCCCCCTCGGGCACTGTTGACCCCCCCTCGGGCACTGTTGACCCCCCCTCGGGCACTGTTGACCCCCCTCGGGCACTGTTGACCCCCCTTCGGGCACTGTTGACCCCCTCTCGGGCACTGTTGACCCGCCTCGGGCACTGTTGACCCCCTCTCGGGCACTGTTGACCCGCCTCGGGCACTGTTGACCCCTCCCTCGGGCACTGTTGACCCCTCCCTCGGGCACTGTTGACCCCTCCCTCGGGCACTGTTGACCCCTCCCTCGGGCACTGTTGACCCCTCCCTCGGGCACTGTTGACCCCTCCCTCGGGCACTGTTGACCGCCTCGGGCACTGTTGACCCCGCCTCGGGCACTGTTGACCCCGCCTCGGGCACTGTTGACCCCTTTCTCGGGCACTGTTGACCCCTCCCTCGGGCACTGTTGACCCCTCCCTCGGGCACTGTTGACCCCTCCCTCGGGCACTGTTGACCCCCCCCTCTCGGGCACTGTTGACCCCCCCTCTCGGGCACTGTTGACCCCCCCCTCTCGGGCACTGTTGACCCCCCTCTCGGGCACTGTTGACCCCCCTCTCGGGCACTGTTGACCCCTCCCTCGGGCACTGTTGACCCGCCTCGGGCACTGTTGACCCCCTCTCGGGCACTGTTGACCCCCTCTCGGGCACTGTTGACCCCCTCTCGGGCACTGTTGACCCCCTCTCGGGCACTGTTGACCCCCTCTCGGGCACTGTTGACCCCCCCTCTCGGGCACTGTTGACCCCCCTCTCGGGCACTGTGACCCCTCCCTCGGGCACTGTTGACCCCTCCCTCGGGCACTGTTGACCCGCCTCGGGCACTGTTGACCCCCTCTCGGGCACTGTTGACCCCCCTCTCGGGCACTGTTGACCCCCTCTCTGGCACTGTTGAACACCCTTCTCGGGCACTGTTGAACACCCCTCTCGGGCACTGTTGACCCCTCCCTCGGGCACTGTTGACCCCTCCCTCGGGCACTGTTGGGGCACCTTGTCCCACCGTTGTAAACTCATTTGGAGACCCAGGTCTCGGAAAGGCTTCAGGAAACTAAGTATTCCATTCCCCCGAGCATCTTACAGTTCGTATGAGGTCCTCGGCACTTAACCTACTTTTTAGTAGTAGCCAGTTTGGGCTAATGGGTGGTTTAGAGCCGCCACCCACGGAACACCGCTTGTAACTTGCTTAGTGTGTGTGCTTGCCCCACGGGGGGACCCTGAACGATTATCTTGAGATCTTGAGGTTATCTTGAGATGATTTCGGGGCTTTAGTGTCTCCACGGCCCGGTCCTCGACCAGGCCTCCACCCCCAGGAAGCAGCCCGTGACAGCTGACTAACTCCCAGGTACCTATTTACTGCTAGGTAACAGGGGCATTCAAGGTGAAAGAAACTTTGCCCATTTGTTTCTGCCTCGTGTGGGAATCGAAGCCGCGCCACAGAATTACGAGTCCTGCGCCCTATCCACCAGGCTACCAGGCCCCTGAACGGTGCTTCACTCACTTCCCCTTCTCACTCGTAGTCGCCTCTACCACCTTCTCCTCCCCTTATTTACTCATTCATGCACACACACACATTTGTGGGGGGGGGGGCCTGGTAGCCTTGTGGATACCGCGCAGGTTTCGTAATTCTGTAGCGCGGGTTCGATTCCCGCACCAGGCCGAAACAAATGGGCAAAGTTTCTTTCACCCTGAGTGCCCCTGTTACCTAGGAGTAAAATAGGTACCTGGGAGTTAGTCAGCTGTCACGGGCTGCTTCCTCGTGTGTGTGTGTGTGTGTGTGTGTGTGTGTGTGTGTGTGTGTGTGTGTGTGTGTGTGTGTGTGGGGGGGGGGGAAAAAAAGTAGTTAGTAAACAGTTGATTGACAGTTGAGAGGCGGGCCGAAAGAGCAAAGCTCAACCCCCGCAAGCACAACTAGGTGAATACACACACACACACACACACACACACACACACACACACACACACACACACACACACACACACACACACACACACACACACACACACCTAAATACACATAATAGCTCTTCCTGTACATACCCACCAGGCTGTCCATCTTCCTATCCTTCCTCAATCTTTTAATACCACCTCCGTCCAACTCTCTGGCACAATTCACCAGAAATCCGCACTCGTCCCAACAGGTGATTCATCACTCTGCTGCCACCAGCTCCCCCCCCCCCTCACTCACCTGTTGATTAATTAACCCCCCCCCTCTAACAGGTAAGGACTACATTGGGTCTACTCTCACTCAAGTGTATAGCGACTCGAGTTCGTCCTCGGCGCTTGCCACT